ACAGCCAATCAGATCACTAGAACGCTCCGCGCTCCACCAATCAAAACTCTCAATGGGCGGAGTTCCTGTATGTTTTCTGGTTTCCAATGAGAAGATGTTGCGCTGTGGAGTTGGAGACAGATGAGAAATCACTGTTTTACGCTCCGAACGGGAATAACGACACTCTTATTTGAATAAAGACAGTTTCTTCATCTGATGTGGACAATTTAGAGAAGGTAAGCAATGGATTGACAGTTTAATCCTGCTGTATTCATCGTGTTTAACATGTGAAGCCAGCAAGAAGTGCTGCAAGAAAGACAGTTTCGCCATAGCTGAACCAGTGCAATCCTGTGGTAGTATACAGTAACTATTCAGTTAAACATATATGTATATATATGTTTGCATATTTCTCAAAGGCAGTGTATTGCGTATTGACCTTCATCAGGTTTGTGCCGATACCGGAGGAGGCCTTTGGTGTTAAATGTCTTTGTTTTTGTGTGTTTGAACTGTAGATTATCATGATAGAAAGACCTAGACTTTTGTATATCTTCTTTTATATATAGATTATTTTCAGTATACATAAAGAATATCGTAAACTATTTAGGTGTTTGGAAATTTGATATATGATGGAAAGTGTGGATGCTTTGAATCTGTTACCATAGAAGCACACCCGTGGATGCCTTTATTTGTGCCGTTCAGCAGCAACTTTTACAGTATTTTTGTTGACATGAAATACTGACCTGCTATTATTTAATGTTTTCCACCTGCTTCTGATCCGTAGGATCAGTCGGTCATGGAAAACCTGGAAATATAATGGAAATGTAATGGAACATTGAGATTTCCAGGGCTGGGAAAGTGATGGAAATGTGTATAGTGAATATAAATGTTTCTAGTTATGCTCAGCTGTAAAATATTTAATCAGTGTAGATATAATGTATATACAATTTTTTTAAATTTAAATACTTATTTAGTAATATCTAGAAATTGGAAAAATCACGGAAATTCATTGGTCAAAAGTTGTGGGAATCCTGACTTTATCCAGCATCACATGTTGGTTGCATCTTGTGCATTTGTCAGTTTTTATGACTGAATCCTCTTCTTTGTCCATAATTTTAAGATGCATACAACTCGCAGTCCATCCGCATCCATCCAGACAGGGGCAGCTGGAGATGTTCTGGACCTTAGCCTGACTGGCTCTCTGCTCACAGTGGGCCGCAGACCCAGCAGCGCTTCACCTGGAAAACACTTCTCTCGATCCATATCTGTGTCTGTGGCCAGTGATGGCCGGGGGAAGCGAAACACTTTGGTGAGTCTGGCTAGAAGATTGTGTAATTATCAAGAAGATGGTAGTAAGTGTACCTTGTATAAAGTCATTGAGTGATGGTCCTACAAGCAGGTTATTAATGCGATAACCATGCAAATGAAAGCATAAAATTGGACTGTCTATACCACCATCTTCACTTGGAGACTTGCATTTGTCATAAAGGCAGCTTTTCTGAAATGCATGATGTTGTCTTTGCCTTTTGAGACTGCTTTATTAAGATTTAGACAAATGCAAATCAGGATATTTCACTCTCATTATACTAACTCCATTCTTTCTTTGTTTAAAGAAAATAAAATTCTGTCATTATTTTTTGTGGAACACAAAACAATGTAGTTTTTGAAGCATTACATTTCAAGTTGTCTGAAGCCATACAATAACTTGGTTTAAGAACAGACAGAAATCAATAAAATATGCCATTTATTGTGCAGTTTGGACACCAGTAACATCAAATAGCATTGGTTATCTCTTAACCAAATGTCATAACTGCAAGTGAGAGTTGCTCCATTTCAAACCTGTGTTTAGTCTTCAGAAGGCCTAGTATTATAACTGTTTTGCGCTTTCTGTTGTTGGCAGACTGATGCTGGATTGGGAGGCTCACGAGCAATTAAGAATCTGCGACGGTCCAACAGCACCACACAGGTGAACCAGCAGGCCAACACAAGCCGCAGGTACAGATCCATCTGTCATTTCTTTGCATGCCATTTTGAAAGTTTTGATAGCTGTCTTGAAAGTTTGTCTCTTCTGGTGCTGATGCTGGTGAATCTTGCAACTTGTATCTTGAATCTTGTACAAAACTTGTGAAGAACACATCCAGGTGACCAAAAAAAAATCAAAAATAAATATAATAACATTTTATCAGATTGTTTTGATCAAATTAAGCCTGTTCTAGGATATGTTTAGGATCTTTTGTGACATTTATTTTCATAATAATTAAATAAATTTTCTTCTCAGTTCTCTTTACCGTAAATTTTAAAAACATTTTTATATTATATTTATATAACATTTAATGTTTAGAGAATAATATTTAATAATAATTATATATTAAATTGTATGATATTTGTATGATATGGTATGATGTACTTTCTGTAGTTTATGCTGATATTCATTATAAAAAGCATTGTATTACAATATTTATTTACCATAATACAGTTTTAAAAATACTGTATTGTACTGGTAAGAATCTTAATAGGGAAAAAGCTCAAAAATAAAATGAGGTACAATAAATACTATATATTTTTGTACTGTACTATATATTTTTGTATTATGGCAATAATAAAGAGTTTTTTTCCCCCCAACACAGTAATGAGAATTTGAGATTAAAATCTGTTTAATTATAATGAAAATATTGTCCCATTGCAAAAATCAATTCAAATCAAATCTCTGTCCTAAATGGTCCTTTGTAAATCTTGGTCCTAAAATGGTCTTTATGTAAAATGTTATAAATAATTATAATTTCTTTCTTTTGATTTTGGGATGAAATGAATATGTTTTTCAATGAATATGAGATTCACTCATCAACATGTGCCAGCTGTCCTATTCAGACTTTGAGAATGAACTATCCCCAAGGGATGTGAGTGAGAGGTTAGCTGACAACTTATTCAACATATATGACTTTTTAAAAGTAATGATGGCATGTTTGTGCACGTACATGTCTAGTGCACATGCCTGCATGCACTCACTTCACACAAGCTGTGGTATGGTCTGGTTGATCACCTCCTAAATGTAGAAGTTGAGGGTTTTTACCTTTAAAGCAGCAACAGTTGGGGGTTGAATGATTTTGGGTTTTTCCAGACAATAGCTATTGTAGCCTGGCGGCTGCAGCACAAGCCAAGCAAGAGGGGGCTGGGTTCTCTGGTTTCGCTCGAATGAGGACGCAGTGAAAGGAGAAGTGTGCATTCTGAAATTCTTTTGTCCGGCAGCTGCCAGTCCTGCCCTCCCGTCCCACTGCATCCTGGGATGCCACAAGGGGGTTTAAATGAAGGAACAACCTAATACCCCTCCCCCCTTCCCTCTGGTGCTTAATAACTGTCATTCCGTGACCTCTCTTCCCTTCTGAATTGCTAAAAAAGAGGAAACGTGGAGGAATGTAGTTCCGTGAATTGCTTTTCATTGGACCAGCTGACGCTAGGCGCCCCTTACACCCCCAAAAACACTCACATATACATACTGAAGTTGCTAGCACAGATGCCGGTAGGTCAGACATAGGGGTGAGCATCATGTTAAACATTTTATGCAATTTAAATGCGGAGGGATGCGATTGCCATATGCCTATGGACATCTGTCCCTTTAAAATCAGCCTCCGCTGAAGTATTCCTCTGCTGTGAGCCCAGTGCAGCTGTTGTCACCTCCGAAAAGGAAACTTTTTTTTTGATATGCTCATATGATACGTTTAGCCTAAAAAATAGTCTGGTTGTTTTTACTGGAGATAGATCTCAGGTCATGCACTGGATTTGCCTCTATTTTTGTTTTAAAGAAGGGAAACGCAGACTAGGTATTCCTAATATTTCTAAAATGCATTTGAACAAGCATCCCACAAGTATTTATTTATAGCATGTAACTCGTCCTGTACTAGCTGTGCAATGGACACTATATATTTTTTCCAAGTCCATTCAAAAGTATGGGGTGAGTATGATTGATTTTTTTTTTAAATAAATTAATACTTTTATTTAGCAAGGATGCATTAAATTGATCAAAAATTACATTTTATAAAGTTACTATACATACTATATATATTCACAAATATACTTAGTATATATATATACAGAAGAGGGAAGCTGGCGTCTCTCTGGCTGCCAACTTCACTGCCAACAACAGGTGGGAAGCCGTTTTCTCCTACGGTTTAGACACTACTGTGTACAAATGGGTAGCTTTCAAACTCTCTTGTTGCCATGACAACAGTGTCACAGGCAACAGATTCACTATTACGCCTTTTTTTGTGCTTGTCAATCAAAGCATTAGTATGCCAATAGGGAGAAGAGAGCTAGATTCCTTTCAATTTTATGGCTTTTAAAATATAGCACTAGTCAAATTTTTAGAGACCCTTGACTAAATTTATGTCTCGTGATTTTATGAATCCTTTCAACTAAAAGTTCATGCTTGAATTCTTGAAATTGTTTCTAAATTGTGAGTTTCTTCTGTTTAAAAGTTTGTAAGTAAGGTCAGTAAGATTTTTTAAATTAATATTTTCATTCAGCTAGAATGCAATAAAGTGATCAAAAGTGACCGTAAAAGACATTTATGTTATAAAAGATTTCCATTTCAAACAAATACTGTTTAGACTATCCATTAATCAAAAAATCCTGAAAAATATATCATAGTTTCCACAAAAATATTAAGCAGCACATCTGTTGAAAACAATATATATTAAAATATATTAAAAACAGAAAACAGTTATTTTAAATTGTAATAATATTGCACAATATTACTGTATTTTTGAGCAAATAAATTCAGCCTTGGTGAACATAAGATGCTTCATTCAAAAAGACTGCATATATATTTTAGATTATGGTATGTAAAAATGAATTTGAATATGTAGAATGTCTTTGTGTTGACTTTCAGGAGCAATAAAGCAGCTGTGGGTAACTCCGTGACCACCATCCTTCATAATAACCACTCAGAGAAACCCCTCACTCCCAAGAGCTCCAATCAGAAACCCTCCTTCAAGTAGGTTCATTATGACTTTGAATGATTGCACATCTGTGTGAGCTAATCTTAGACACGAGTCCTCTAAATAAGGCTCTATTTTGCTTGAGTGTGCTGTGTCTAGGCCTACACATTTACAGTGATTTACCCTCTCTCTGTTTTAACAGTAACATAATCAAAGCCACCGTAAATGATGATGTGACTGTGGATGTGAGCTGTTCTCTTACTAAGTCTCAGAAGAACTTCTCCTCTGCGTCATCAAGCTCCAACAACAATGCCCCCCATAGCCCCCGAAGCCCAGGTCAGCCACGCAGACGAGAAGTGACCGAGGAGGAGGCCGAAAGGTCAGCAGTGTTTTCCAGCCCTCAGTTGTTTACACCCTAGCTGTGATCATCTCCGTGCAATGTTTGATTGACCTTTGAGACATTTCAAACTGTTTACAGGTATATTCAGCAGGTGAACCATGCTGCTATTACCATCCAGCGTTGGTATCGTCGCCATGCCAACAGAAAGAGAGCCAATGTGAATACAATCAAACACCTCCTCATATCCAAAAAGAAGGTAATCCAAGGAGGTCTATAAAACCTTGACTTACATTAATGTTTAATCATAACACATAATATATTAATATTTGAATTAAAAAAATGTATTTAATCAGAATACATGACTACTTTTAAATGCCCTGCAATTTAGATTATTTTTGCTTCCAGGTGATGTAGTTACAGTATCTACCAGCAGAGGCTATAAACCTGTAGTGGATATTGTTTAAACGAATGGTTAAGCTTTATGCAGGGTTCCCACGCTTCTTGAAAGTACTTGAATTTCAGACATGTGGATTCAAGGCCTGGAAAGTACTTGAAAACAAACATAGGTCCTTGAAAGTGCTTGAATTTAATTTGAAATACATTTTGTTTATGGCGCCATTTAAAAAATTGTCCTATATGTTCTGTCAAAGACAGAACAAGCGGCACTAATGATTGGGGGTGGAGCTGGGGGAGCGCGAAAAAAACTAAAACGTGTGTGTTGATGCGCAGCCTAGAGTCCTGAGTGAAGTGTAAGTAGTGAAATGTTAAGTAATGTAAGGTCTTTCGTGACACTACATATGCTGTGGTGTGAATTTGATAGGTGCTTGATATAAAATAAATGGTGCTTTAAAAAGTCCTTGAAAGTCCTTGAATCTGGTGTTCATGAAAGAGTGGGAACCCTGTTTATGGTATCTAGCCTAATTCAAAGGTATCGCTCCCATTCTTACGGGTATTTTGACGTATTTTATATAGGAGAGAGAGCAGAGAGCAGAGGAGGAGAAAACCGCTGAATCACTGAAGAAGAAAGAAGATGATCGAAAGCGCATCAGGGAGGAGAAAGCTCGTCTGGCTCGCCTTACCGCCATACAGGTACAGCAGTCTTCAGAAATTATATGCAGAACTAATTACGGTTAAAAAGTTTGGGGTAAGTAATATATTACGTTTTTAAGGAAGTTAGTACTTTTATTCAGCAAGGATGCATTAAATTGATAAAAAATGACTGTAAGGACATTTATAATGTTACAAAAATTTCAGTTTCTATTCCTCGAAGAATCCTGAAAAAAAAAAAAGATTCAAAAATATATTAATCAGCACAACTGTTTTCAACATCTATACTAATTTTGAATAATGTTGTGAACACCAATCAAAATATTAGAATGATTTCAAAGGAAAAAAATTCTATTTTAAAATATATTCAAATAGAAAAGAGATTGTTTGTAGTAATATTTCACAATATTACTGTTTTTTATCAAATTAATGCAGTCTTGGTGAGCATAACGGTACATTCACACGGGGTGTCAGCGTTAACACTTTTCATTTACTTTGAATGGGTGACGTCATGCGTTGCCGAACTGAATTGTGGGTCCGTCAGCATCAAATCGTTGCTCACGGCAAAAGTTGAAAATTTCTCAACTTTTCAAGCGCCAACGGAGGCGTCAGCCAATCAGATCGCCTTATGCAAATAGCCTAAATCAGACGCTAACCAGTTGCGGTCC